TAATAATAATAATAATAATAAATTACCTTTTTCTATCGATTTCCTTGGTGGTAAGAGATCAAGGTCATCTGATTGATCCTCATCACTCTTCTTATAGTAATATGGTTGATCAGGGGGACCAAACCTCTTTAAGCAAGCACACCACACAGTTAAAGATTTGGTTTTTTTGGAGCTGTCGTGTTTTTTCTCTGGAAGACCAAACCACTCTTAAGTATAATGTACCTTGTCTGGCCACATGAAGCTTATGAAGAGAATGATGGGGAGTCCAACAACAAAGACATAGAGACCCCAGAGCCAGGGACGCTGGAAAGTGGCCAGAATGAGGGTCTCTATGATGCTCGGCTAGAGCGCACATAAACAAATATGTCATTAGATAAATAAAGTAACTGCATATAATGATGGATAAAAGATAAAAGATCAAAACAGCTTGTAAAATGATCACATGAATGTAAAATGCCAAAAAATTAGAAGAAGGCAAGTAACAAACAAAAGTACTGGATTTAAAAGAAAATGTGACCAAGACCATTATTCGGGGTCATAAAATCAGCAGGAAACATGACTGACTCATTTTTATGCCATGCATTTTTACATTTGACCACTAGGTGGTGTGTAAGTAATCTAGGTGCATGGACTGCAGTGCAAAACTATTAGTCTGTTATATCAACTCGCATCTATAGTGGCAGATTTCTATGTTTTCTTTAAGCATGCCTTAAAGATAAGATAAGAAAAAGTATAATAGTAAAAAAAAAACATTTTTTCACAATATTACACTGTATACAATCTTTAGTGAATACAAAAAAAGAATAAATGCAGTAAAACTCTTACGTTTGCTGTAGCAGAAGCTGTTGTCACATCTGCTGCCAGCATCATGCACAGCACCAGAAAGCTGGTGTCCATCCCTAAAATACAAGTACAGGTGTACACACACGCATGCAGTGAGATCTGAATGTCTTTAGACTCTTTTTTATATGTGTTACGACCCGGCTCAAAGCCGCAACATAAAAAAGGAGAC